GCTCTATAATCTCTTCTGAGGATTCTCTCGAATGTCCCTCTAATATTTCTTCTTCACATACTGCTCCAAACTCTTGACCTTGGTAAACCACCTTTGGAAGTTTTTCTAATGTTGGCCCATAAAACTCAGATTCTTCAGAAATTTCTTCTTTTGGAATCACCTCCTTTTTTTCAGTCCCCATCTCACAATCTGAAATGAGAAAAAGGAAGTTATAAAAGGGCTATTTCTAAATGAAGCTAATGCTAGAGGTATACCAAGCTTTGACACAGTGCTGGTAGCACTCAAAGACTGTCCTGACATCTGGTGCAATGAAGGATAGGATGCTGCTGGAGAAGACAGTGTGGTGGACATACTAAAGAGCAAGTGCTGACTAAAAGTTCCACAACATTAACTATGAATTGGATAGAGCCTGAAGTTAGTTTAAAAAAAAATCATTTAGGGAAAACAATAGCCATTATTAATAGATGGCTATAGAAAAGAGAGGACAAAAATGCTAAGTCAACAGAAATAAGTTTTGTGTTTATAGATGAAGAAACTACAAAATGAGAAGCAAGAGGATCTATTCCAATTCTGTGGTATTCACCAGCTCTGTAGATGAGGACATAATATATACAGTAGTTACCCATTCAAAATGTGACTTTATTTAATGGGACTAAGCTATAATGAGCACAAAAGTAACTACCCTTAGCTCCCTACATTTGATGAAGTAAGAGTCCGACTTTTATTTTCTCTGGATTGTATCAGTACCACTGACCAAATAATTTTTTCCTACTAACTTAAATTGCTACCTATATAGTCTACATGTCCATATGTATTTGAGTCAATTTCTGGATTCTATTTAGTTCTACTGTTCTATTTCTCTTGTAGTACTTGTTTAACCTACTGAAGCTTTACTAAAAATTTTAATATGGTAGAGAAAGTTCTCTCTCATTAGTCTTTTCAGATATTTTTGTCTATCCTTATATTTTTTCAAATAATTTTAGTCTAATTTTGTAAAATTTCTAAACTTATCCTGATGTTGGTTTTATGACCATCTTGTCTCTTTTCATTTAGCCACTTCTAAAAAAATATTTTCTAACTGGTTGCTTTCATATGTAGCAATGCTGTACACCTTTTTTGTTTGTTTGTTTGTTTGTTTTGAGATAGGATTCTGCTATGTAGCCCAGGTTAGCCTTGAATTCTCTGTGTAGCCTAAGCTGGCCTTGAATTCAAGGTCCTCCCACCTCTGCCTCCCAAGTAGTAGGATCACAACTATGTGTGTCACACACCCAGCAATGCTATTGATCTTTATATTTTAATTTTGTAAGAAGCCCTTTTATAGAAAATTCTTAATATTTTTATAGATCTTAAAGAGTACACTTTTTAAAACTTCTAAAAAGCTATGGCAGAACTTTTAGTTGCCAACCCCAGTATCTATTCTTCCCCATCTCCTAAAAACAGAAAAATGAATTTACTTAGAGTGGCAATGAGCATAGCTAATACATTTTTCAGCTTTCTTTGCAGCTGGATGTAGCCACGTGACTAAACTGGCCAATGAGTCAGTGAGATGCAAATGAAAGCACAGGGGACTACTGGTAAATCTCAGGTTGCATTTCTTCATTCTCTTTTTCCTTCTGTTCCTGAGGCATGATATAATAGTTGGAGCTGGGGCACAATATGACAGTTGGTCCATGAGTATACCTGCATATCCTAGGACGAGGGATTAGAGCTGGAGGAGCCATACAAGTCCTGGAATGCCTGCCTTTGGACTTCGTTTATCCAAGAGAGAAATATTATGTCTTTGCCTTCCTTAAGTCATTGTGGGTTTTTGCTATTGTTGTTAGTGATTATTATATGAGGTCAAACCCATTCCTAATACAATTATCCAGGGAATTGGGCTGTCCCCAACATAGAAATGGAGTGCAGGACTAGAGGTGTAACTCATGTGGTAGAGCACCTGCTTTGTAAGCCCAAAGCCCTGAGTTCAAACTCTGGTCCCACCCAAAAAAAAAAAAAAAGAAAGAAATGGAGTACAAATGGTGGCAAAATGAGCCTGACCTTTGCTCAGGATGTAATCAATCTGGAGCTAATACTGAAGTGACTCTGATTAGGACAGAGTATTTGTAAACCACAGCAACTTTGAGGAATACAATCCTCCCATAAATAGAATGTTAGCTATGGGAGGTGAAACTTACAAGAGGACAGGCGAGTATGGAACTTCATCCTCAGTCAATGCAGAATCATGAGATGGTTTTAAGCCAAGAAATAATGAGTCTCTGGTCAGATGAGCCCTTCAGGTAGATGCACACTAGTGGTCATTTAGTAGCTGAACTAGAAAGCTGTAGGCCTTAACATAGGGAAAACACAGGAGGTTGAAGCAGTCATCAAGATGTGATGAGATCTAAGGCAGTAGCAGTAGTGGGATGAAAAGGAAATAGACTGGAGGAATATTTGAGAGGTCAAATTCTGCAAGACTTGGTATGTAACTGGTTATAAAGTGTACAGAAAAGAGAGCAGTCAAGGATGGTGCCCAGATCTTCCTTAATTTGAGAAATGATGCCACTAAGATTGGAGCTACTACTGAAGGAGCTAGTTTAGGAAGAAAGATGATGAATGAGTTCTGGTTTGGACAAGATAGGTTTCAAGATAACCGTACAAGGTATCAATCAATCAATCAATCAAAATATATTGGTCTGAAGCTTAAAGCAGTCAGGACTAGAGATATAGACTTGAGAGTGCTCAGCACGGATACACTGTGAAAAACATCACAGGCTGAGGACAGAAATCTAGAGGTCAAAACTAATAGCTATAAGTACTAGAGGCCAAGCATGGTAGCTCATGGCTATAACCCCAGCTACTTGAGAAGCAGAGATTGTAAGACCCTATTAGAAAAATACCTAAAACAAAAAAGGACTGGGAGTGTGGTTCAAGTGATAGAGCACTTGCCTAGCAAGCACAAGACCTTGAGTTTAAACTCCAGAACTTTTTCCTAGTTTCCTGTCACTCACAGGACATTGGTTACCACCATGATCCTACCCTTGGGCCCCTGTACACACTCTGCAATGCAGCCTTGATAATAACCAGTCCCCTGACACATGGAAGGAACCTGAAATTCTAAAATCCTGAAGACTTGGAAGCTGTCTGTACTAACCTTCACAGTGAGCTGGTATCTTCAGCTTCCCTCCCCATCCACCTCCCAGCATCTTCTCTAATTCTCCCATGGAGAAAGGGAGGCCATCCAAAAGCTAGATTTCTCCTTTATGTTGAAATCTTTTAAAAGTATAGATAATATTACCTGTATAGTTGTAAGGATTGGTTATATCATTTGAGTTAGGAAGTAGTGTCTTAAATAAATTTCTAATGCCTATAATACCAACACTCAGGAGGCTGAAGCAGGAGAACAGAGTTTAAGGCCAGCCTAATCTACATAGTGAGTTCAAGGCTAGCCTAGACTATAGAGAGACCCTGTCTCAAAAACAAAAGCCGGGGCTGGTGGCTCACACCTGTAATCCTACCTACTTAGGAAGCAGAGCTCAGATGGATCGAGGATCGAAGCTAGGCTAGGCAAATAGTTTGTGAGACCCCTATCTTGAAAAACCCTTCACAAAAATGGGGCTGGTGGAGTGGCTCAAGATGAAGGCCCTCAGTTCAAACCCCAGTACCACCCCCAAAAAAAGCTCAAAATTCAGAAAACCTTCCAGAACTATGACCCCTGCAAACTGTTCTTTTACTTTAAATTTTGCCAGTGACATTTGCTAAATATTACTTTGTAAGTATCTTCTCCTACAGAAATTAAAGCCAATTTCCATTTGATTGATTTTCCCATAGGCAAAGCCATACATTAAACCTCATCTTAATATGGAAACACACCATGTCCCATAGCCTAATTTCACATCTCCAAACACACTTTACTTTCTAAATCTGAAATGAACTATTTTGAAGATGGAAGTACTACCTGAGGAATGAGGTTGGACCTCATTCCACAAAGTACTGATGAAGTAAAACTTGAAAACTACCATGCTGCTCAGATCAAAATCTACATAGGAAGCCACAAGAAACCCTAGAAATAATTGGGTAAGCCTTCAATGATAGTAGAAAAATCTGGTTAGTTGAATGATTCTTTTTTTTTTTTTTTTTTTTTTTTTGGTGGAACGGAGGTTTGAACAAAGGGCTTCACACTTGCAAAGCAGGCACTCTGCCACTTAAACTCCAGTCCATTCTGCTCTGGTTATTTTGGAGATTTGGGGGGGGGGGGAATCGTGAACTATTTGCCTGAGCTGGCCTCAAACTGTGATCCTCCTGATCTCAGCCTCCCAAATAGGCAGGAATATAGGCATGAGCCACCAGTGCCTTACACAAATGGTTCTTAAATAACGGTTCTTCAGACAGGTGTGGCAGTGCACATCTGTAATTGCAGCACTTAGGAGGCAATAGCAGGAGGACTGAGAGTTCTAGACCACCTGAAGCTACTATGTTCAAGGCCAGGCTGGGCTTGTTTTTTGTTTCAGAAAACAAAAGCAACAGCAGCAGCAGCAGGAAAAGATTCTTAGCCAGGAACTTGCCTAGCTACATAAGAATCAACCAGGAAATTTGTTAAAAATACTGATTTCTAAGTCCTGCCTCTGATCTCTCTGGGCTGACTAAGGGATCTTTATTTTTAACAACTGCCTCTAGGCGATTCTGATGCCCAGATCTGGAAGCCACTGTTAGTCTTAATGACTGTAGTTATCCCTCTCTTAATCTGGTCCTCTATCTCAACCCAAGGTCTGATCTATGTCAAGCAAGAGGATTATGGATACAATGCCAGTTCTTATTCTGATTTCTTTCTTCCTATTTTTCTTTTTTTTTTGATTGTCCCTCCCTTCATCTAAATTCCTGAGAATAGATCACATATAATACAATTGATAGCTGCTCTGTTTTCAGTTAAAAAATTTTTTTGAAAAGATCACATTTCTATTATACTTTATCAGATTGGCCCCTGGTTACTATGACTGTGATGTTGCGCCAATTGCCTAAATGGTTTACAGTAATCTCTGTGATAGTAACATCATTTAATTCTGTGACTTTATCTGACAAAAATTACATTGTGATTTATAGTAAAATATTATTAAATGATCTATCAACTGATAGACTGAGTAGGCATTTTAAAAATCTTGTTGAAAACAAAGATGGGACTTGCATTTCAAAAGGTCCAAGAATAATTTACTCCCTCAACAGATTACCTTTGTGTGGCACTCTCTCTAGAGGTAGATGGGTTAGAGGTATAACTTTATCTTATAAAGGAGGAAAAACCAATTTGCAAGAGGTGAAAAAGGGAAGCCTATTGGCTACAGACTAATTCTCAAGCAAATCTGTAATAGGCAAGGATATAAATTTATATTTTAGTCTGGAGACCAGACTAAAAACTGGTCTCCAGTCAACAATCCATGTACCCATCAATATTATAGGAAATATTTGTGTACTCCCGCTACAAACTTCAGTTTGAAAATTACTACACTACAGCACTCTAGGAAGAAAGTGGGGTGGGGACGCCTCAGTTGCCAGGAAGCACAGGAGGAATTAAGAAAAGGAGACAGAACATGTTGATGTCAATGTAGCATGAGCAAGGTTGGTTCGACATGTAAGGAGAGAAGTAAGAATGCATTGATACTCTGATGTGCAGCATGATGATGCTTACCGTGTGTGTGCTAAGCAACTTACCAACATCATTTTATTTAACCCTCACAACCTTCTTATGAGACAGGCTGGTGAATATCAACGCAAGAAGCCAATTGGTATGCTCTTCTGAATTTCTCCAGTAGTGTTTTTGGCATCCTCGAAGCAGGCTGAGAATCTGGGAGATATGTGTAGTGGAAGACTGAGGGAGTGAGGAATTTGGCAATGTTAGCCAGGAGATAGTTGAGATGACTGAGTAAGACAGGAAGGTAAATGGGGTAGAGGAGGGGCAGATGAAGGAGCGGGATGCTACCAGGTTACAGAGAGGATGAAGAATGTGGGGAATGGCTGGGAGCACAGCTCAAGTAGTAGAGCACCTGCTTAGCAAGTACAAGGCCCTGAATTCAAACCCCAGTAACACACACACACAAAAGAATGTGGGGAACACATGGAACCAAAGGAATATATCTTAAAAACTAGAAATTCTGAAATGTCAAATTTTATAATACACCAAAATTAATATCCTTTACAATTATCAAAATTTATGATAAGAAATGAAAATAGTTTAAGCCAGGTGTTGTGATGCACACCTGTAACCCCAGTATTCAGGAGTCAGGAGGATCTTGAGTTTGAGGCCAGTCTGGAATATATAGTAAGACCCTACCTCAAAAAAAAAAAAGGAAATAAAAAAATTTTGAATGTCAACATGCAATGTATAAGAGAATGCAATGTATAAGAAAAATTTTGAATGTCAACATGCAATGTATAAGAGAATAAGAGAAGAGAACACAAATCTTTGGAAGATTAATTCATGGGGTATTGGAGCAAAGAAATTTCCAGTGACCTTGTTTCTTTACAGGAGATCTTACCTCACCCAAGACCTCCAGGAGTACATCCCAAATGAGTTAACACAGTGAAGTAAGTACCGTCCCCCTTGAAAGTGACTGGTTCAGAAAGAGTAGGGATTCAGGAATTCCTGGCTAAGAAATGGGCATATGCTTTGACTGGGTAAATTATATTTTGAGGATGTCTGCTGGGAGCTTCTGAGAATAGTCTCCTGCCCTCCTGAAAGAACCACAGGAAGAGACTTCTATATATTGTTGTCTGGACCTACTGCTGCCATCTCAGGTCGAGCTAAAAACAAACAAACAAAAATCAAGGGGAAATGGAACCCAGATCATTAGATTAAACCAGTCCTGAAACCACTACGCCTCCTGACTTCCAATTTATGAGTTTATATACTTGCATATTTATTCAATGCTCATGATCAAACCAGGGCCGCCTTCATGCCAGGTAAGCCAGGGATTTACCACTGTGCTACACCTCCAACCCCATAGTTAACTTTTTTCAGTGCTGGGGAATCTAACCCAGGGTACCTGCATATTTTTAAGCCAGTTTGAGTTGGATTCCATCACTTACAGAGAAAATAAAAACCTTAATCAACTACAAATGCTTCCTCTTAACTTCTGGCAGGCCAAGTGACAAAATACTCAATATACAGTACAAGTGTTAGTCTTCACTACCATCTGGAGGAAGAAGGTTCTCTCTTTGTTCTCTGAATCTGCATTTCACTGACCCTTTTCTTACTTCTTTCTTTGTACTATAGTTTTTCCATGTGACTTCCTGTTTACTGCTCCCCCAAGGCCTCCAGAGTAAGAACTTCTTCCCATGGCTCACAATACCCTTTTGACCAGGCTATTCCCCTTCCCCATGTCCTATCTCACATTCTCCAAAAACAGCAGGAAGATGCAATCATGCTCAGTCCAAACACTTCCTATTCTTTAAAGATTCTTTGCCTTTGAAACCAAATTAGGACTGGAAGTGTGGCTCAAGCATAGAATGCCTGCTTTGCAAGTGTGAACCCCTGAGTTCAAACCCCTGTTCCACCAAAAAAATACAGAGAAAAAATTATTTTCACTTCCTGGAATACTATTTTCTACCTTGTGCACTTAACAATCATCTTTAAGACTGAGCTGAAACATGTACAGTTCTGACCCTCACTCAGTCCCTAAAAACAGACTTCTTCAGCAGATACCGTTCCCGTATTGCTAATTTACTTACGTGTCTTATTTTCTTCTCTAAACCTTGAGCAAGGATGCGGCTGTACTCATCTTGGTATTCCAGTGCTTAGCACATCTCAGATACCTGGTAAGTGGTTGTTCAGTGAATTTGTGTAGCTTATCTATACAACAAATCTTAGATACTCTTGAGGGCTAACTCTTTCTACCTAACGAGCCCAGGACAGTGTCTGACACATAGCTGGTGTCAATAACTTCTGGTAAAAATAAGCTCTTTCTCCCAATCAGTGCTATTTAATTTAAAGCACTGTTATCCTCCTTCTCCATCCTTCCTGATACGCACAATCCTGAGCTCAATCCTGTCTCCTCTCCACAACTCTACCCCTTACAAACCAATATTCTGTCTGGCAACACAGGATACAATCTACCATGGGGGAGTTAATTTTTGCCCGTCATTTCGTCCCAGCGGTTTACTCGTGGATAGAATATCTGGAAAAAAAAAAAAAAAAGGCACAGCTTGGGTGCGTCCCCAGGGCTGCCCCTGCTTCTCCAGTTCCCGTGATTGACAGGCATTGAACCTGAACTGGGACAGTCCCTCGCAGTGCCAGGCTCCACCCTCTCTGCGTGCAAGTGGGTACTTGAAGGCCGGGAGGCCATAAAGTCCAAGGTCACACAGCAAACTCGGGTCAGGAGTGGGCCTAAACTTAGGGCTCCCGCTTGGCTGCGGAGTGGGGAGCCCAGTGCCCTCCTCCCCCCAGTCATGACACAACGAGCTCTCACCGCGGCCGCTACCGCCCCACGCTCAATAAACTCGGACTCCCCGCGCTGCTCCGCCGCCCGCACCGACCCCGCAGCTGTTGTCTAGGTGTCACGGGCGACGGGCACCGGCCACTTCCGGTACCCGGGCAGCGCTCCAGCCAATCAGCGCGTGTCGCCCTCGCTGGACGAACAGGTGGTCCGCGAGCCAACGCCTCCTATCCTTTTCCAGCTTTCCTTTCCATCGGCTCCCACCCTGACCAAAGCCCCACGTCGCCGCTACCTGCCGAGTGGGCTCCCTGGAGTGTCCCAGAGCTCCGGGCGATGCCCAGTTCAGCCCCAGGATCACTGACAAGCTAGGTCCTCCGGGGTTCCTAGAACGGCTCCGAGGACGCACTTCCGCCCCGCGAGCGGCCGCTCTGCGCGTTGGGGTCGCCCTCCAAAGCATCTCTGTGGGCTGGAAAACGTGGGAGTGCGCTTCGCCCTCCCGCGGGGACCCGTTTAAGGCCGACTACTTAGCCTGTTTGCTAAGGTCAAGTGTACATTCTAGGAATATGTTGGTCGTCTGCTGGGAACCAAGGGAGACCTGCTCTGAGGCCAGGAGGGCTCGCGGGAGTGATGTTTGGACAGAAATGTGAAGGCTGGCTGTGAGTTACCTAGGATAAGAGTAAGGGAGACAGCTGTTCAGGCGATGGGAATTGCTTTCTTTTCTGGCCCTTATTTGTTCTTTGAACAAGCTTGGCCTGTTCGTGTCTCAGAACCTTTACCCTTTCTCAATAGCTTTGCACAACAAGCTTCACTTTGTTCAGGTCTCAGTTCAAAGGCAACAATTAATGTTGCTTCAAACTACACTCCTCCCAATTATCAATCGTAAGGAAGGACTGTGATTGGTCCTGTTTGTGTCTGGTGCTCACCCCTGCACCAATCAGGAGGAATGAGATAAGTAAGCCTTGGTCATCTGTCTACCCCAATGGTGAGAGCAGCCTTTGTGTTTGCCTCGCCATAATCCTGCGAAATAGGAAAGGGAGTGCCTACTCTCAGAAAGGAATATTGTGTTATACATGCTGAACATAATCCTGCAGAAAGGAACACTTTCTTTTGAGTTCAGCATTGGGATTAGAGACTAGACTCCAGGGTCCCTCACTCTAGTCACTCTCATACCAATGTCCTTAACTGCTGTGCCCTACTCTCTGCAACTGTCAGGAAAGTTTAACTTTGATTCAGCCAAAACGTCCATCTTCTTTGCCCAATCTACTAACATCTAGTGGGAAAAATACATATTTGGAGAAAAGCCCTAAGGTAGTTTTATGGTCTTTGCTTCCCAGAGGTCTTTGACTTATGCCCACTAATCATTTTCTGTTTCCCTACTACCTTGTCTATCATTTTCCATTATTTTTATTTCAGCCTTTTTCATCTGCTTAAACCTTTCTCTAGACCATACTGCGAGTGTCAGTTACCATCACAATCATTGCCAGCTACGTTCATTTCAAGGAAAGATGCCCAGACTGGGGCAGGATAGCTACCGTAAGGTGACAGGGAAATTAGAAAATATACCAAAAACTAAATCAGGTACAGGGGCTGAGAAATCACTAGAACAGCAAGAAGCTAAATCAACTATTTACAAATCCACATTCCCTCCATCACCCTCCCTTCTCTTTCAGATGTTTTGCTTTGTTTTGTTTGAGGCAGTACCAAGGTTTGAACTCAGGCTTCCCACTTGCTAGGCAGGTACTCTACAACTTGGTCCACATCCCCAACCCTCATTCAGATGTTAAATGAAATACAGTGCCCCTAAAAGAGTGATTAGGTCCAAGAAAAGAAAAGACCTGGTTTTTTGTTAATCTGACCAGAAAGGACTACCTTAAAAAGGACCATAAAGAATAGAAGACTGATTTTAAGGCCAACACAAACCTGTTGTCTCCAAGCCTGAGTGATTATATCAAAAGAGGAAAACTGGGAAGTTGCTAGGTGATCACACATTCAGGTGACCAGTTCTGAACTGGAAACACCCAGCCCAGGTAGAGGACATAAATGCCCTGAGAAAAGACCGTCCTTTGAGCCCTCTGTTTCCACTTTCTGACAGCTTGTCAGAAGTTGCTGCTAGCCCAGTTTCCCTCTTTTCATGCACCCTGCTTTGTCTTCCTACACTAAGTAAATCTCTGTTGGCTGCTAGCTTTTGTGCCTCCTTTGTGAATCATTTCAAAATTTATTTCATTATTATTTCAAGTTCCTGAGAGTGGGGATCCACAGTGGGCTTGGAAAATCAAATAGAGAGTTCCCCTCTTTTATTGGGGAAATCTCTTCTTGTCCAAATACCCTCCTGTTTGAAACCAAAGTTTTGGACCCAAGGCCCAAACTCCTGAGATTCCATATGCCAGGTCCTCCCACCAGCTCCTAAATGCCAAATAAAGAGGCCTGGTGAAGGCAAAGAAAGGAGGCTTATTACACAGCTTAGGTCATGCTGTGGGAAGAGGCAGATGAGCACTCAGCTCATCTTCAGCCATCTTTGGGGTATAGACATGAGCTATACATTTAAGTAGACAAAAGAACTGGGGGCAAGGGTAAAAAGGTATGCATAGTTAAACAGTCCCAGTCACAGATGTATTCTGGTTGACAATTATCTCAGTTGAGGGTTCACAGAGGGGTTCCAGAGAAGATGTTATCGCTGTCATCATTTGAGGGAACCTGATTTAGTTTTTGGTATATTTTCTAATTTCCCTGTCACCTTACAGTAGCTATCCTGCCCCAGTCTGGGCATCTTTCCTTGAAATGAATGTAGCTGGCAATGACTGTGATGGTAATTGACACTCTTGGAATATGGTTTAGAGAAAGGTTTAAGCAGAGTGAAAAAGGTTGAAATAAAAATATTGGAAAATGATAGATAAGATAGTAGGGAAACAAAAATTTTTATTAGGATATGTTCATTATGGGGGGACGTTCATAGTGATTATTCTGATTAGACTTATATTGTACAACATTTACATTGCCCCCAACATCTCTCCTCCTCAGCCCCCTCCCCACCCCACTTAAAGCAATTGCAGGAAGTTTTTCAGTTCTGTTTCATATAGGTATATGAAATCCATAGCAAACTGGGTTTTAACAAGCCTTTCAGGGTTCTCATGCTCGCTAAAGTTTAGGAATCTTGGTCCAGACATTGAAGGTGCATCACTTGCTCAGCCCCTTCTTTGAGGGTTAGAAAGGAAAAGCATACATTGTCTCCTGGCTACAACCCTGCCCATCTGTTTTATTATACTAGCTGAGGTAGGAGCCATCTGGAGCAACAGGGATCTCCTGAGGGAAGGGACACCATGGCATATGGTCCACCAATGCTATTCCCATTTCCAGCAGGTGTATGAGTGGGTAGGGGCTGATGTTTCACAGTCTACTGACAGGTGCCTTTTGGGGTCCCACAAGGGGCCTATCCTTCTTAGGTGAACCATCACACCTTTCACATGGGATAAAATGCAACAACATCCAGAAACTTCTGCCTTCCAATAGCTGCTTAATAGCTTGATGCCCTGAAAGGGAAGACAGAGAAGAGAAAGTTGCCCTCATGCAGGGGTCAGTGCTGAGCCTGAGGAAGGTGAGCTGGAAGTGGTGGGCGGGGCTGCACTAGAACTAGACAACAGCAGAGTGTACAAGGAGGTAAGTGAGCAGAGGACAAGGCAGATGGAAGCTGTGCCATAGCTTATGAGGCTTGTAACCAGGACTCTGGAGTCTTCACAGTCAACAAAATAACCAGCACATTTGTCACCAAGGGCAACACACCATTGAGCCATACCTAGTACACAAGGCTCTTGTCCACTGGCCTCTAAATCTGCTTTAGAGTTCCACTCATCACAGTGTTCCAGGAAACTGCTACTGATTAGTCTTTATTTGAACATGAGTGAAATTATTTGCCATTCCAAGATCAACACAATCCTATATGAATACTGCTAGGGCTCTTTTTTGAGAAAATAACAAGTTTCATGTCAATCTGAAGGTAGAATAGTGATAATTAAAGGCTGGGAAGGGGAGAGGGATAGAAGGAGTTGAATAACGGATATCAAAACACAGCTACAGGATATGGGGAGGATGTGGTTTAGTGGTAGAGCACTCAAGGCCCTGGATTTGATTCTCCAGCATCACAAAACAAACAAAAAACAAATACAAATAATAATAATAATAAATAAGTTCTGACATTCTGCAGCATGGTGGGGTGAGAGTTCACAACCTATAATATATCCTATGAAGCTCTGGAGGAGAAGGGCTAGAAGGCTCCAAAAATAAAGAAAGGACAGGAGAGGGAGAGGGCAGTTACCCTGTTTTGATCAGTACATGCTGTATATGCATGTGGAAATATCACACTGTACCCCATTCATATGTACAATTATTATATGATAAAAATTTATTATTTAAGGCCAGGTGTGATGGCTCACATCTGTAATCCCAGTTATTAGGGAGATAGAAATCAGAAGGATTACAGTTCAACACAAACCCCAGGCAAAAAGTTAGTGAGACTCCATCTCGATCCATAAACTAGTCATGGTGGCACATATGTCCATCATCCCAGCTACTTGGGAGGCCATAAGTGTGAGAATCACAGTCACAGGCTAGCACAGGGCCAAAATGTGAGACCCCACTTGAAAAATAACCTAAAACAAAAAGAGGTGGGGAGGGGGGCATGACTCAAGTGGTAGAGCACCTGTCTAACAAGAGCAGAGCAAGGCCCTGAGCTCAAACCCTAGTACCACCAAAATTTTTTTATTTAAAAATAAATTAAAATTTAAAATTAAAAAAACAATAAATAAAAGCAGAGTAAAAAAGAAAAAGAAAAGAAAACCAAGTCCCAGTGTTTCACAGGTACATATATTATATGACTAAAAGAGATTAAGGAACGGCAAGGTAATTTTTAAAAAACCAATGTTTGTAGAGATGGGGGGTTGGATAGGTGGAGTTCTCAGCTGTCCGGGCTGTCGTCAAACTCCTGGTCTAGAGTGAGCCTCCTGGGCAACTGGGTCTACAGGTGTGCACCACTGTACCTGTTAAAGTGGACATTTCAGCTCCTTTCAGAGGACAAAAACTATTCTGCCTGATTAGTCTTTACTT